ACAGAAACCTGTAACTGTTTTGCATGATGGTAGGATTGCTGGTTTCTTTTTCTGTCTCATAAACACGCTAGATAACAGGGATATCTTGCTACTCCTACTTACACTTTGGTCACACTTCACAGACACACACATGCATATATATATATACATACATCTAGGTTTTTCTCCTTTTTCTAAATAGCTCTTGTTCTTCTTTATTTCTTCTATTGTCCATGGGGAAGTGGAAAAGAATCTTTCCTCCGTAAGCCATGCATGTCGTATGAGGCGACTAAAATGCCGGGAGCAATGGGCTAGTAACCCCTTCTCCTGTAGACATTTACTAAAAAAGAGAAGAAGAAAAACTTTATAAAACTGGGATGCTTGAATGTGCGTGGATGTAGCGCGGATGACAAGAAACAGACGATTGCTGATGTTATGAATGAAAAGAAGTTGGATGTCCTGGCCCTAAGCGAAACAAAGCTGAAGGGGGTAGGGGAGTTTCGGTGGGGGGAAATAAATGGGATTAAATCTGGAGTATCTGAGAGAGTTAGAGCAAAGGAAGGGATAGCAGTAATGTTGAAGGATCAGTTATGGAAGGAGAAAAGAGAATTAGGATTTGTAAATTCAAGAATTATGTGGATTAAAGTAAAGGTTGGATGCGAAAAGTGGGTCATAATAAGCGTGTATGCACCTGGAGAAGAGAGGAATGTAGAGGAGAGAGAGAGATTTTGGGAGATGTTAAGTGAATGTATAGGAGCCTTTGAACCAAGTGAGAGAGTAATTGTGGTAGGGGACCTGAATGCTAAAGTAGGAGAAACTTTTAGAGAGGGTGTGGTAGGTAAGTTTGGGGTGCCAGGTGTAAATGATAATGGGAGCCCTTTGATTGAACTCTGTATAGAAAGGGGTTTAGTTATAGGTAATACATATTTTAAGAAAAAGAGGATAAATAAGTATACAAGATATGATGTAGGGCGAAATGACAGTAGTTTGTTGGATTATGTATTGGTAGATAAAAGACTGTTGAGTAGACTTCAGGATGTACATGTTTATAGAGGGGCCACAGATATATCAGATCACTTTCTATTTGTAGCTACACTGAGAGTAAAAGGTAGATGGGATACAAGGAGAATAGATGCATCAGGGAAGAGAGAGGTGAAGGTTTATAAACTAAAAGAGGAGGCAGTTAGGGTAAGATATAAACAGCTATTGGAGGATAGATGGGCTAATGAGAGCATAGGCAATGGGGTCGAAGAGGTATGGGGTAGGTTTAAAAATGTAGTGTTGGAGTGTTCAGCAGAAGTTTGTGGTTACAGGAAGGTGGATGCGGGAGGGAAGAGGAACGATTGGTGGAATGATGATGTAAAGAGAGTAGTAAGGGAGAAAAATTTAGCATATGAGAAGTTTTTACAAAGTAGAAGTGATGCAAGGAGGGAAGAGTATATGGAGAAAAAGAGAGAGGTTAAGAGAGTGGTGAAGCAATGTAAAAAGAGAGCAAATGAGAGAGTGAGTGAGATGTTATCAACAAATTTTGTTGAAAATAAGAAAAAGTTTTGGAGTGAGATTAACAAGTTAAGGAAGCCTAGAGAAAAAATGGATTTGTCAGTTAAAAATTGGAGAGGAGAGTTATTAAATGAAGAGTTAGAGGTATTGGGAAGATGGAGGGAATATTTCGAGGAATTGTTAAACGTTGATGAAGATAGGGAAGCTGTGATTTCGTGTATAGGGCAAGGAGGAATAACATCTTGTAGGAGTGAGGAAGAGCCAGTTGTGAGTGTGGGGGAAGTTCGTGGGGCAGTAGGTAAAATGAAAGGGGGTAAGGCAGCCGGGATTGATGGGATAAAGATAGAAATGTTAAAAGCAGGTGGGGATATAGTTTTGGAGTGGTTGGTGCAATTATTTAATAAATGTATGGAAGAAGGTAAGGTACCTAGGGATTGGCAGAGAGCATGCATAGTTCCTTTGTATAAAGGCAAAAGGGACAAAAGAGAGTGCAAAAATTATAGGGGAATAAGTCTGTTGAGTATACCTGGTAAAGTGTATGGTAGAGTTATTATTGAAGGAATTAAGAGTAAGATGGAGAATAGGATAGCAGATGAACAAGGAGACTTTAGGAAAGGTAGGGGGTGTGTGGACCAGGTGTTTACAGTGAAACACATAAGTGAACAGTATTTAGATAAGGCTAAAGAGGTCTTTGTGGCATTTATGGATTTGGAAAAGGCGTATGACAGGGTGGATAGGGGGGCAGTGTGGCAGATGTTGCAGGTGTATGGTGTAGGAGGTAGGTTACTGAAAGCAGTGAAGAGTTTTTACGAGGATAGTGAGGCTCAAGGATGTGTGATGTCACCGTGGTTGTTTAATATATTTATAGATGGGGTTGTAAGAGAAGTAAATGCGAGGGTCTTGGCAAGAGGCGTGGAGTTAAAAGATAAAGAATCAAACAAAGTGGGAATTGCCACAGTTGCTCTTTGCTGATGACACTGTGCTCTTGGGAGATTTCTGAAGAGAAGTTGCAGAGATTGGTGGATGAATTTGGTAGGGTGTGCAAAAGAAGAAAATTAAAAGTGAATACAGGAAAGAGTAAGGTTACGAGGATAACAAAAAGATTAGGTGATGAAAGATTGTATATCAGATTGGAGGGAGAGAGTATGGAGGAGGTGAATGTATTCAGATATTTGGGAGTTGACGTGTCAGCGGATGGGTCTATGAAAGATGAGGTGAATCATAGAATTGATGAGGGGAAAAGGGTGAGTGGTGCACTTAGGAGTCTGTGGAGACAAAGAACTTTGTCCTTGGAGGCAAAGAGGGGAATGTGTGAGAGTATAGTTTTACCAACGCTCTTATATGGGTGTGAAGCATGGGTGATGAATGTTGCAGTGAGGAGAAGGCCGGAGGCAGTGGAGATGTCATGTCTGAGGGCAATGTGTGGTGTGAATATAATGCAGAGAATTCGTAGTTTGGAAGTTAGGAGGAGGTGCGGGATTACCAAAACTATTGTCCAGAGGGCTGAGGAAGGGTTGTTGAGGTGGTTCGGACATGTAGAGAGAATGGAGCGAAACAGAGTGACTTCAAGAGTGTATCAGTCTGTAGTGAAAGGAAGGCGGGGTAGGGGTCGGCCTAGGAAAGGTTGGAGGGAGGGGGTAAAGGAGGTTTTGTGTGCGAGGGGCTTGGACTTCCAGCAGGCATGCTTGAGCATGTTTGATAGGAGTGAATGGAGACAAATGGTTTTTAATACTTGACGTGTTGTTGGAGTGTGAGCAAAGTAACATTTATGAAGGGGTTCAGGGAAACCGGCAGGCCGGACTTGAGTCCTGGAGATGGGAAGTACAGTGCCTGCACTCTGAAGGAGGGGTGTTAATGTTGCAGTTTAAAAACTGTAGTGTAAAGCACCCTTTTGGCTAGACAGTGATGGAGTGAATGATGGTGAAAGTTTTTCTTTTTCGGGCCACCCTGCCTTGGTGGGAATCGGCCGGTGTTAGATAGGAGTGAATGGAGACGAATGGTACTTGGGACCTGACGATCTGTTGGAGTGTGAGCAGGGTAATATTTAGTGAAGGGATTCAGGGAAACCGGTTATTTTCATATAGTCGGACTTGAGTCCTGGAAATGGGAAGTACAATGCCTGCACTTTAAAGGAGGGGTTTGGGATATTGGCAGTTTGGAGGGATATGTTGTGTATCTTTATATGTGTATGCTTCTAGACTGTTGTATTCTGAGCACCTCTGCAAAAACAGTGATAATGTGCGAGTGTGGTGAAAGTGTTGAATGATGATGAAAGTATTTTCTTTTTGGGGATTTCTTTCTTTTTTGGGTCACCCTGCCTCGGTGGGAGATGGCCGACTTGTTGAAAAAAAATATATATATATATTTATTTATTTATTTAATTTTTATTTTGTTTTTTTGTTTTTTCAACAAACCGGCCGTATCCCAACAAGGCGGGGTGGCCCAAAAAGAAAAACAAAAGTTTCTCTTTTTAAATTTAGTAATTTATACTGGAGAAGGGGTTACTAGCCCCTTGCTCCCGGCATTTTAGTCACCTCTTACAACACGCATGGCTTACGGAGGAAGAATTCTGTTCCACTTCCCCATGGAGATAAGCAGAAATAAACAAGAACTAGTAAGAAAATAGAATAAAACCCAGAGAGGTGTGTGTATATATATGCTTGTACATGCATGTGTACTGTGACCTAAATGTAAGTAGAAGTAGCAAGACATGCCTGAAATCTTGCATGTCTGTGAGACAGAAAAAAGACCAGCAATCCTACCATCATATAAAACAATTACAGGCTTCCATTTCACACTCACTTGGTAGGGCGATAGTACCTTCCTGGGCGGTACTACCTAGAACCAGTTTCATATCTTCATTCATGTATTTGATTAATGAATCGGGACCATTCAGGGTGCTCAAGGCAAGTCACAGTAAAATATGGCCACCAGCACCAGAAACCACACAGTTGGTTTTTTTCCATAGATGATAATGGAGGCCTGGTAATTTTTAGGAATGCTTTGTATTGTAAATGAGAATTGCTTAAAGACAGTACTATACTATTATTATAATAATCATGGGGAGCGCTGAACCCGTAGGATTATACATCACCTGTGAGAGGGGGATGGAAGGCATTCAGGGAACTGGATCACAGATCCAATTCCCTAGACCAAGAGCCCCTCGCAAACATCAAGGAACCTCCCTTGAGGGGAGTATTGTACTAACTTTGGTAATTTACATTTTTGCTAATTTCTACTCTTGTCCTCTGTTCCTCACAGACTAAGGCTTGAAGTCATTATTGGTCCGATATTACTCTGCCAAGTAACCTTAATTTAAGGAGGGAGGTGCCTTGATGCTGAAGGGCTCATAATTCAAGGAACCCTTCTTATGAATCAAACCTGATTCTCCCCCTCTTCCCATATCCTATGCATTGTATGACTCTTATGGATTTAGTGTTTCCTCATAATGATGATACCCAGGTAAACTGTAAAAACTTAAACCAGTGTTTTATGCTTTATCAGATTTGTTCTCTTCTCAGGATGATATCATAGCTGTTGGTGGTGATGGCAAAAATATTTGTCTGTATGACATCACAACGAAGCTGGAACTAGTGCAGTGGGATGCGCACACCATGCGCATCAAGAGTCTACGAGTCATCCCCAGAGTAGCTACAGAGGATTTGTGGCTTGTATCTGCTTCCTCTGATGGAACCATAAAAGTGTGGAACATTGAGGTAAACAGATGAAGTTTCTAAAATTGATTGTAAATTGTTGAATACAGTATTTATTCTGCCCCTTCATTATTATTATAATCAAAGAAAGTGCTAAACCAACAAGGGTCATGCAGTGCTGCAGGGCAGAAAATAGAGCCAGGGCTATAAACAGCTAGGTGGAGAGGGGATCAGAGGTGAAAGGAGAAAAGGGCTGGAAGGAATGCTAAGGGCTGTATGTCAAAGTTCATACAGTAAAGCAGTTGCAGACAAAGTCAGAAAGCGATTGTAAGTCAAAGGCAGGGCCGCCTGCAAGGAGGGAAGATAAGATAAGAGTAGTAGGGCAGCAGCATCATTGGAGGTAAATCCTGCGAGCCCGCTGGTAGACCGGGCAATCCACAAGAAGGTGAAGAACCAAAATAGGGACCTGACAAACCTCACAGAGAGGAATAGGGTGTCATTCCATGAGATACCCATGGGTAAGGCAGGTATGGCCAATTCGGAGACGGGAGAGCACAGTCTCCCGAGTATGGCAACGGTGGTAAGAGCATATCCACAAACCTAAAAGCAGTTTAATAGAGTGCAATTTGTTATGGTGTATGTCTGACCACCATTGTTGCCAACGGCCACGAAGACGGGCAGAGGTGACTAAAATTTTCCCTGAACGGAATACCTCTATAGAAAACCGGTAGATCATGTACAGCTGACCGCGCAGCAGTGTCCACCTGTTCATTGCCCTGCACATCAACATGTCCAGGGACCCAACAGAAAATGACATCTTTGTTTTTTGGTAGCTACACGGCACAACCATAGTTGAATATGAAAGACCAGTGGTTGAGGGGAATAAAATTGTTTAATGGCTCGTAAATTGCCGAGGGAATCTGAAATGATCACAGATGTTGAAGGAGACGTATGTGTAATACGGAGAAGCGCTATGAGAATGGCAAACAACTCGGCAGTAAAAATACTAGCCAAATCTAACAAATGACCTTGGAAAACATCATCAGGGAACACCGCCATGAATCCAACACCGTCAGAAGATTTAGAACCATCTGTATAAACGGCGACGGCATGAGCATATGACTGGAAGTGATCAAGAAAAAGAGAGCGAGAAGCAGTGGTAGGCAGGAGAGCTTTGGCGCATGGCAGTAGGGGAGAACAGACATGAATCGTCGGAACCTCCCAAGGGGCAGGGGAAAAGGCAGACACTAAATGAACTTACAAGGGAGGCAACTGGAGAGAAGGCCAGAGTGAGTGAAGAGGAAGAGAGAACTGTTGGCATAGGCAGGGGCACCGAACAAATAATGAGCTTCTACTAATATCTGAGACCTATACGTAGAAGAAACACAAAGGTCATGAGAGTGGACAAAGTAATGAAAGCAGTGAGCATCACGATGATCAGCTAAGGAAGAAACATTCGCCTCAGCATAGAGGCTTTCAGCAGGGGATGAACAAAAGGCACCAAGGCATAAACATATACCCTGATGATGAAGGGGATTTAACTTAGAGCTGTAGGGAAAGCCACAGAATAGACTTGGTCACCATAATCCAGCTTGGACAAAACTAGGGTGGAATTCAAATGGAGGAGAGTCCAGCAATCTGCTCCCCATGAGCAATGCGCATTCTGGAATACGTGAGCCATCTAAATACAATGGAATATCTGAGACGAGATCTGGTGAAGGTAATGAAATGGGTTTTCATACTAGAAAATTTAAATCCATGAGAAGTGGCCTAATGGGAAACTCTGTCAATCGCATCTTGAAGGGAGGCCGCTACCAGGCGACAGTCAGCGCCTGCATAAGCTATAACGAAGTCATCCACGTAAGGTGATGATCAAATATGCGATGGACGAACAGAAGGTAGGTCATTTATAGCCAAAAGAAAAAGGGTAGTGCTAAGGACACAACCTTGTGGGACTCCCTCAGCCTGAACTAAGTCTGAGGAAAGCGAGGCGCCAACACAGACACAAAAATGTCTGTCGGATAAAGCAGCAAGGAAGGTTGGTAGATTACCATGGAGGCCTAAGGAGTGGGCTTGGGCTACAATGTTATACCTCCAAGTGGTGTCATATGCCTCCTGAAGATCAAAAAAGACTCCTAGGATGGAGTGTTTGTAAGCAAAGGCATTTTGCATATACGTATCTAAGTGGAGCAAGGGGTCCAAAGTAGAGCGGCCCTTGTGAAAGCCATATTGGTGAGGAGAAAGACTATTGTGAGTCTCCAAATACCATATCAGACATCTATTCACCATTCGTTCCATCACCTTAGACTGCACTGGTCAGAGCAATGGGACGATAGTGAGAGGTATCAAGCCCTGAGGTGCCTGGTTTGCAAAACAGTAGTACAGTGGCAGATTTCCATTGTGGAGGGAGAACCCCTTGCATCCAAATAAAGTTGAAAAGATGCAAAAGGACTGTAAGGGCTGTAGAATGCAGATGTAGCATACTGATATAAATATCATCAGGCCCAGCTGCTGATGACTCCCTAGCAGAAAGTGTGGACTCCAGCTCTAGGAGAGTGAAAGGTACGTTATATGGCCCCATTCCATTAGAAGAGAAATCCAAGGGCAGTTGCTCCTTGGTAGACTTAGACGCGAGAAATGAGGGACAGAGGTGAAGCCCTTGGGAGACACGGACAAGATAGTTGCCGATTTCCATGACTACTTCAAGAGGTTCTGCAACACTAACACCAGCAACCTGCAAAACAGGAGTTGGGTCTGGAGCGTACTTGCCACACAATTTCCGTACCTTCTTCCAAACCACACACGTAGGTGAAGTCGAGGTAATGGTAAACACGTAGTCTTGCCAACAAGTGCATTTAGCGTTGTGTATGATGTGGTGAGCAACTCCCCTTGCCCGCTTAAAATCCAGAAGACAATCTAAGGTCTTATATCGATAACAGCCCCACTCAGCACGTTTCAAACTCACTGCACAGGCACACGCAGGAGACCAAGGCATGCATGTCTGAGAATACCTGCCTGAAATTTGAGGAATAGAATGTGACACTGCAGTCAAAACTAAGGTCGAAAACTGGTGCACCAGCTCATCAGTAGAGGATGAAGAAAGGTCCCCACAAAAAGCGGTAAGATGAGTGTATAAGTCCCAATTTGCTCCTCCAAATTGCCAACAGGGGCTACGAGGCAGTTGGACATACGTAGTAGAAGTAAAAAGATTAGGAAAGTGATCGCTGTCATGCAAATCCAGGAGAACAGACCAAGCGTAATCAAGTGCGATTGACGAGGAGCAGATAGAAAGATTAGTGCAAGAGAAAGCCTGAGTACGAGAGTCAAAATGGGTGGGAGCACCCATATTTAAAACACAGAGAGGATGAGAAGTGAGTAGAGTCTCCAACTGATCACCATGAGAGTCACAGTGGGACCCTCCCCAAAGATGATAGAAAATAGAGCCTCACGAAATTAGTGGTATTACTGTATAATGCAGCAGAGAATGAACAGAACAAAGACCTGTTGATATGGTATACCAACACGCACAAGAAGCTCACTCTAATTAAATGATTCATCAAGAAAGGAATCTGAAGAATGAACAGCACATAGCTTGAAATGGGCGAATAACAGCTGAACAAATTTTGGGCTCTTGTAGCCCTACACATACTGAGGAAAATTGGGAGAGCAACATTTGGAGCTCTCCTCAACTACCCCTGAGGCCATGAATATTCCATTGTAAATAAGTTATTCACAAAGACAAGTATGCCAACAAGAAGCGATAAAAATCTATGGGCTATTAGGGTCAGTGGAGGTAACAGAAAGCATGTAAGCAAGCAGGAATCAGAATGCTGTGAGGCAAAAGATTGCTACGAGGGTCGCGAGACGCTGATACCATGACTTCAGAGACGGGAGGTAAAGCAAGTAGAGATTGGTGAGACTATGGAGGGAATCAAAGAGGTCTGAGAGGGGAGGGGAGTATAAACCTGGAACAGCGCTGTATGGCCCTTGTGGTTTAGCACTTCTTTTTTTATTATAATAATAATAAAACTGGAGAGCTGTGTTGGTAGGGACAGAAGATTCCTGCGGTGGAACAGGAGGAAGGAGGCTGGAAGGTAACTGGAGAAGAAGTCTGGGGGTTAACAGAAAAAGAGGGGACCACACGAGGCGGGGGGTGAACCTCCGCCTTCATGTGAAAGTTAGAAAGGGGGAGAGAATTAGGCACTGAGGTCGAAAAGGAAAACTGTTGGGGAATTATAAGCACCAGGGGAAGGCTTATGAGACAGGTTCAACTTGCAGGTGATAGGCACGAAGAAGATGCAGGCTTGCGAGGCCTTGCAGTCTGAGAAAGTAGTGGACAAGAAGTAGAGGTAGGAATAGGTAAGGAGGTGGGGGTTTCAGAGGGTAAATTAGAGATGGGGGGTGAACCCGGAAGATACGACACTGGAGGAGCTGGTAAGCGGGGGTACCTGCCAAGGTTGGAGGTCTCTTAGCTACTTAAGAATAAGGGACATGAGGAAGATTCCCTTGAAGGCAGAGCCAAGAGACATCCATAGCATAAGTAAGGTCTTTGCTCTCCTTAAGACAATGGATTTCTTATTCATTAAGATAGACCTGACATTGGCGGGAAAAGGAAGGATAACGTTCATTGCAGTCGAGACAAGTGGGGGGAAAGACTGCAAGATATATCGACATGATCTGTGGCACCACAGATCTGCAGTATTTAGTGGAGTGTCCAAAGCACCAGGAATTTTGACACTTGGGGAGTAGGGGCCACTTTACGGACCTCTAAGCGATGGCCTGCAATATAAACAGAGGACTGGAGTTCACAGCAGTTAAAGGTTAAGCTGGCGATGTTACTGGGAAAGCACTTCCGCCCATGAGTGGGCAGGACATATGTATCCACTTTGAGAATTGGAAGGTCCTGAAGGGCTAATTGCTCCAAAATATCATCAGAAAGACAGAAAATCACTCTGTACAATGGTAGGCAGTAAAACCACCGTACCACTGCAAGAATTGAGATGAGATTAGTGTGCTTGTGAACTATGATTGGAATGTTATCAGTGGAAGTAAGATGGCAAAGA